TTTTTTGGTTTTTCTCCGGTACCGGGAACCGAACTCACGACCTTGCGCTTGCCAGGCAGGCGCTTTGCCGCTGAGCTAAATCCCCAGCCCCTGTTTAACTTTATCACACAGTGTATACCTATGCATTATCTACTTTCCTGCTGCTGAAACAAAATACTTGACACACGCAATTTAAAGGAGGAGAGATTTATTTGGATTCATGGTTTCAGTTCATAGGCAGCTGGTTCAAAGTCAGAAACAGGATGGCAGAGGGGTGTGGCAGAGGAAGAGGTGCTCAAGCCACGGCAGGTAGGAAGCAGATTGAGAGAGAGAGAGAGAGACAGAGAGAGAGACACACACAGAGAGAGAGACACAGAAGGAGACAGAGACGGGAGAAGCTGGGCACAAGAATACACTCTTCTAGGCCATGCCCTTTGCGAATCACCTCCACTCAGGCCCCAGCTCCTAACAGCACGTTCAGCCACTAAACTCATAAGTGGATGAATCAACTGATGAGCACAGCACTCCCGTGGTCCAATCACCTTCCAAACACATGAGAATCTGGGGGGCCTTTTAGATCTAAACCATGACAATATGTAACAAAGTATCACATGGTATCCCTAAATTAAAACATAGAATTTTCATGTTTCATGTATGAACTGAAAAATTAATTTAAAAAACCCTACATATGGCCCTTTTCCAGTGTAAATAAATCTTTATGATACTGAATTATCAAACATCTGAACTATGAAAAAAAAGCAGTGAATCTAAAAAATGACTTCTTTGTAGAAGATATTTACCATTATATACCTAGCGCTGATCAAATACCATATTACTAAATAAGGGCCATAGTTACCCAGACTCCTAAGAGTGCAGTGTAGTAAGTTAGCTGTCCACCTGTAAATCCTGCCCCTGGACGTTCCCACTGCAGGCCTGATGTGAGCCACTACCCTTCCTGCGGCTCAAAGACAGGGATAAATAATAGCCTAGCTTTAGAGTGCAGCTGTGAAAACTAAATGAACTGACACATGTAGGGTACTTAGAATAGTGCTGGCACCTTTTAAAACTTACTATTAACAATTCTTGGAATAATATGGAAAAAAAATCTGACTTTTTTCTTCTGTGCCCCAAAATCAGGGTTAGCTATTTTAAGCACTAGGCTTAAGAGTTGCGTCCATTGGCTGGCCTGCCAAGGAGTCTAGCTCCTTCACTGCAGATCAGACTGCACAGAAGCATATAGGTCAGTGATGCACTGGAACATAACGTAACATGAGCTATGTTTTGCATGAATTATGTCTTAGAGTGGAGGAGAATGTGAGAAGCAGCAAACTACCTTTCGAACAAAGTATTAGAAATTTTTTAAAAGGTCAGTTGGTAGACTGATGCTATGGCTTTGTGTTCTAACTAGGGAATATGTGAGCAATGCAAGAATGAAGTGTACATAGGGAGGATGGGGAGGCAGAGATCCACACGCCTCAGTGTCTCACCTCTGCTTTGCAGTATGTCTAAATGGCACCTAGCTTCTGAATCTAAGAGCAGACCTATTTCTCAGAGGCAGACTCACTCACTGAGCTGAGCTCATAGAATCCATGTGTAAATCTTGGAAGTCAGATTACTGATTTACAATGAGAAATGCAACTGGTGAGGTAGACAGATATCTGAGTCTTCCAGCACCTTCTCTACAGGTACCCTCTGTGATGACCAATTTATTTATTTATTTATTTATTTTTTGTCTTTTGAGATAGGGTCTCACTATGCCGTTCAGGCTGGCCTCGAGCTCCCTTTGTAGCCCAGGCTGGTTTCGAACTCTCAGTGATCCTCCTGCCTCAGCCTCCCAAGAGCTGGGATTACAGGTGTGCGCCACCACGCCCTGTGATGACCAATTTATGATCAGAGACCCATGGAGTTCTAACAAGTGGATTACAAGTGGTGCTTAATGCATGGCTGCGTCCGTCTTTTTAAAAACCCTGAAAGTCCCAGGGACGGATTCCTTGGGCCAAGTTTTGTCATTTGGACTGTGCTTGGAAGAGCAATGCTGTAGTTTGGATCTTGAACGTTCCCCCAAAACCCTTGGTGTTGAAGGCTTGGTTGTCAGGTCACGGCCCTTGGGGGAGGTGGAAGAGACTTTAGAGGCAGGGCTGGGTGGAAGAAGCCACTGGGCATATGCCTTTGAAGTGGGCATTGAGACCCTGGCCTCTTCCTGTCTCTCTCTGTGCTTCCTGGCCACCGTGAGGTGAATAGCCCTCAGCCACATGCTCCTGCCACGACATCCTGTGTCACCAGAGGGCCAGTGCAACAGGACCAAGTGAACATGGGTTGAAACCTCTGCAACTGTGATCTGAAATAAACCGCTCTTTCGTGTTGGTTGTTTTAGGTATCTTGTCACATGACCAGACCACTCACGGGGAACAGCAAAGGATGAGTGGGTAGCTATATCTGAGGAAAAGGGAGCAGGATGAGGGTCAGCAAGGGCTTCATCAGAGTATGGATCTCCCCATGGAATTGAAAATGTCTCCTCAAGACAGATAAAGAGTTGAGGGACATGCCAGGGCCTACAGAGCGTGGCCTTCAGGTAATAGGTGTGGAAAGCCCCTGAAAGATGTGTAAGGTAGACGGGTGTATGCACGTAGGTGTGCATGTTCCTGTGTGTGAGAGCCCTGCTACAATCTGGAAGCTTGGTGAAGCCATGACAGAGAACAGAAGAAAGGACAAGGGGGTGGGATCAGGAGGTCAATGGAACTGACTACTGCAGTGGTCCAGGCAAGAGCTGGCGCAGATTTGAACCAAGACAGGAACAATGAAGCCTGAGAAGATGGAGAAGATACAAGAGACAGTCAGTGGCAAAATGAAACAAGCCGTTCTGTATAATATTCACTAATGGAAGAGAGAGAGAGACAGACAGAGACAGAGAGGGAAGAAGGAAGAACAAGGAGGAGGAGGAGGAAGAGGAGGGGAGAGGAGGAGAAAGAGAGGAGAGAGGGCAGAGGGGAGGAGGGGGAGAAGCAGGACAAGAGACAGGAAATGCTGAGTCCCACCACTTGCTGAGCTAGTGGACTCAGAAGAAGTGGGGTTATCAAGACAATAATCACATCTCATCAAATTTAAGATGCTGTGCATTATAAGATATATCTTTTTTTGTTTGTTTTGTTTTGTTTTCTGGTACCGGGAATCGAACTCACGACCTTGCGCTTGCCAGGCAGGCGCTGTGCTGCTGAGCTAAATCCCCAGCCACAAGATACATCATCTTAAAATTGGACTTCTGAGGATAAAAAATACTACCATCCATAGATTTGAAGATCTGTTCTGACTTCAGAGATATGAAAATGTGACAAAATGTGCACACGCGAATGGGTGAACCACAGTGGCCTGGGACACACAGAGTGTGAAGTACCCATGGGTCTTTCTTAAGGCCACTGGAACTAATGGACTGGAGGTCAGAAGTGAGTCTGCAGTAGAATTACGGTTGGGAGGCACTGGCACATTGCAAGCAAAGCCAAGGGCGCTTACAGTGAGACTGCAAGCAGTCACTGAACATCTGAACTCTAGTTTTACTTTTATATCTATGACTCTGTCATAATGCACAGTGCTGCAAGGAAGCAAGGATGTGCGTAAAGTCCTGACATAGTGAACGCATCTGGGGTGAGGTTTTGGAGATACCAGATCCCTTCACTGCCATCTTCTGTGGTAAAGCCCCGGACCTTCCCTAGTTTGGGTGGCCATAAAGACAAAGTGTGGCCGGGCGTGGCGGAGCACGCCTGTAATCCCAGCACTCAGGAGGCTGAGGCAAGAGGATCGTTGAGAGTTTGAGACCAGCCTGGGCTACAAAGTGCACTCAAGGCCAGCCTGAACTGCATAGCGAGACCCTGTCTCAAAAAAGGAAAAAAAAAAAAAAAAGACAAAGCGTGTGCCCTGAGACATCACATGTCACCTCAAACTGCTCCTTTATCAGTGACCCTGTAGCCATGGCCAAGGCCAGGATGGTCCATTTCAAACAGCAGGTTTGTTTGTAGCTCACACCGGGCTGAGCCTCGCCACCAACCTTTGTAGCTGCAATGTTTTCATGTAGGACAGAGGGTCATCAAAGCCAGGCGGAAGCATGTTGTGTAGCGCTAATCAGTGAAGGTTTATCAGCATCTGTAACCAGGCACGTGGGCAATCAAATGCTTTCCATAGACCTGGTAAAAGTCCCTACAGGTGGCACAGGTACTCACCAAAGCACATCGAAGCCGCTGTTGGCAACCACCTGGCCAGGCAGGTGGAGGGTATGCAGAGGATCAACCAGTCCCAGTGTGGGTTTGATGGCTCTTGAAGCAATCCCTAAAACATAAGAATTTTTCAGTAGATGCTAGCTATGGGCACCATTTTAAAAAAAATTAAATATTTTTAGGATAATAAGTTACTCTAAAAAAAAGCACAAGGAAGATTCATTCTCATGTAGGAAGGCAAGTAGTAGAAATGTGGAGTTGTGTGGTGTGCTGGAGCTAATTCTACCAGAGCCCGGGAACCAAGAGCACACATCTCCTCACACTGGCCAGGACAGAAGCATTTACACTATAGGCACTGGCAAATGCTACAAATCAGGGCTTGCTTGTTTTTTTATTATTAAGTTCCGGAGAACTGGTTTACGAGTACACCACTGGTCCTTGCTCTGCAGCTTACTTTGTGTTTTTGGGCTAGTCAATAAGTCTCTCTAAATTCTCTGTAAAATCATAACATGGGGGTTCCATCCCTCCCAGAGCAGTTGTAGGGATCAAATGAGATAACAGTACGTAAGTCTTTTAAATAAAAGTTAAGGCAAAATATAAGTGTTGGTTACTATTACTATTATCTTTTAAAATGTCAAAAAATACAGTAATTAAAGACAAGTTAGAATAGGTTTGCAATTGAATACCAATTTATTCTGCTGCAAAGGGTTGGAATCCTGGAAGCAAGATATTGATCCAGACTGTAGGAAAGGGACATTCTTATCACATAGTCAGTGGCAGATACAGAAGATAGGTTAAAAAGACTAAGACAGCAGAGCAGAGGTACCTGGGAATGGTGTTGAAAGGATTGGCTAGCATGGAGCATGATATGACCATCTGGAGCAATGGAGATGTCTAATAGCTTGATTGGGATGGTGGTAACATGGGCACATATATCTGTCAAAACTTACCAAGTCAGACTTTTAAATGTGTACATTTTATTGTATAAGAAGTACATCTCAATAAAATTGATTTAAAATATAAAGAGGATGTCAAAGAAAGGAAACACTGATAATTTATCACTTTAATTTAAAGGAAACACTAATTTATCACTGATATACAGTCACTAACATGGGCAGATGAATGGGCAATTAAAAGTCATGGCATTTCCATTTGATTTTGTCGGTAATGCTCAGAAGTTTATTAGACTATTTTTGTATGAACTTGGGTAAAGAAAATGTGTACGTACATATATCTCTTCATCAGCTCTACAACTCCATGATTTCTAAGTAATAGGGTTAAAGCAAAGGGAGTGGGGTTGAAATGTAAAGGAGAGAATTTTTACAAAAATTAAGGACAAAGTTCTTACCAGTTTTGACTTTCAAGTGTTCATAGTCAAAAATGGCAACCCCAGTAGTTTCACTCCCGGTTCCCGAGGTAGTTGGGACTTGAACAAAATAATATTAATTTTAATAAAGCATCTAAATAAAGGTCAGTGCATATATTTAATTCAGCCTTAGAAATAAGAAACAGAGAAGGAAGCTTTGGTAACCTTATTGCTCACCTGATATCTATATCAATACAACATGCATGGGGCTGGGGATTTAGCTCAGCGGCAAAGCGCCTGACTGGCAAGCACAAGGTCGTGAGTTTGATTCCTGGTACCGGAAGAAAAACAAAAAACAAAAAACAAAACCAAACAAAAAAAAAGTGCATGTAAGCCTAACCTATATGATGTCTGTGTTTACATTAGTATGCATGATGCCTAGGCAAGCATTAACAGGCAAGTATGAGGCATGTATCTGTACTACCATGTATATAAATTTAACACGCTCGTTGGTGTATTCATTAGTACACATGCATGTTTAGCATGTGTCACGCCTGTGTGTGCTACATGGATGTATACGCGATTAATAAATATAGTGTTTGTGTCTATACTAACATGCCTGCATATTTACCATGTTTGTGTGGCTTCTGCGTCTATGTTAACAGGTATGTAAGATGTCCACATCCAGGTTAACATGTATGCATAGTATGTTTAATATATATACTGTCTGTATCTGCACAGTGTGTACCTAATACATCTGTGTTCTGTGTCTGCACTGACAGGGATGTGTGTGGAATATGTGACCTCTGTTCTAATGTACACGCATGTCTGTGGCTGTTTGCAGACGTTAATCACGTGTGTGTGACGTCTGTGTCTGCACTGACAGCAGTGAGCTCTGGGAACTTCAGACTCCTTTAGGTGCAGAGCTCACGCAGCTGCAGCTAGGTATTCAAATGTAGGCTGCTCGGCACCTCGGTAAATATTTGCTGGCTCTAAAAGACATCTTCATTCTCTCTTGGAAGCAAGCGTAGGAACGCTCTGCTTTCGCTGGGCTCTGCAGTTTTGTGGTTCTGTGAAATTTTTAAACTTTCCTAATCACCCCTCTGTGTGACACCAGAGGGTTCCATTTGCCAGATCCCAATTACACTGCTCCCTGCTGATTCCTCATTCACTTCAAAGCAGTTCACCTGCCACCAACTAACTTGTGTCCCATCACAGGGACTAGTCACGACAGGAGCAGAGCGGGGGAGAACAGAGGACAAAACTTATACTGAGGCTATTTCCCAGTTACTAGTTAATATATTTTAGATACAAAACTTTACATGGCAATATGCTAGTCATTAAAATGGAACAGGAAATAAGATCGGAAAACCTCAGGGTCCCCTGTGGAACACATAAACTATTTTAATGTGGACTTGCGAGTCTGTGTTCTGGGGAGCCATGGAGCAGATGTCACCCAGAATGATGCAGCCATACTGGCCACATGTCCTAGGGATGAGACAAAGCCTGAGGTCAGCTGAAGAGCCATTATGTGGGAGAAAGGGTTGAGTCACTGAAAAATAACAGCAAATGTTCTCCTTAAACTGCACGGTGGCTGGCAAAATGGGACAAACAGATGGATCTGGGGAACAGGCCTGCCAACAGAGCGATCTAATCAAACGTCAGCAGGGACCTTCCCCTCCTCCACACAGTGACTCGATAGCCTAAATCTGCAAACTTCCTCCCACTGCCCCAAATTGTCTCTCTCTGGGCAATAATGAAGATCAACATTTTAAAATGAATGAATTGTTATCTATTTTGGTCTCCAAACACAGCACTGATCTGAAATGAACAAATCAGAGAGTTTCCGAAACATAGACTCTAAAATTAATAGCTGATGTCTTTCCTAACTTTTGCCAACTACAAAATGAAACAAAATAAGTAATCTTTACCTGCGATCAAAGGCTTAAGAGGTCCAGAGACAGGCTTGCCTTTCCCAATGGGGGCATTAACATAATCAAGGAACTCAGACTGAGGGCTTGATGCATACAGATTAGCAGCTTTACAGGTATCCATGGTGGAGCCACCACCCACCGCAACATAGGCATCAAAAGCTCCCTTTTTGGCAAACTCAATGGCATCCATAAAGCTTGAAGAAGAGAAAATAAAAACCATTATGTCACATTTTTCATAAACAAATCATCACGCCATTAAATAAGGCTTGGGGCAAGTTTTCAACAAGCGAGGTGTGCTGGCTTCTGCTTAAAGTAAATAATGATACAAAAGTACCTTGTGTCTGTCGGTTCCACCCTCACATTATCATAAAGTTGAAAATTGATGCCATTCTTCACAAGGGAATCCATAACTACTTTTACAGGAGGGAGCTGGGAGAGGTTCTTGTCTGTCATCAAGCAAACATTTTTAGCCCCCATATTTTGTAGATCCTAAATAAAAACCATAAATCGGGTTTGACTAAGTCAGAATTGTAATAGACCCTTTGGGTAAAGTTAACATTGTGCAGCTTTAAAATAAAGACTTGGTTGTTGTCTATTAGCCCTTGTTTTATAGGGCACACAGCATTTATAGGAGACCGTGGACATCTCAAATACTTGCCATGCCTACTTCCTTTGTAACTCCTGCTCCATACCTAATACTTGAAACAGCCATCTAAAAAAAGAGAGAAAGACAGGTATGAGATGTCTTAGAGAACTGGCTACACATTTCCGAAAGTCTGAAATGGCCCCTCACTGTTGAGAGAATAAAGTAAGTACTCCTCAGCGTGATCCTCAAGGTCACCCACCACCTGGTCGTACAATTTAAACATACCTTGCGCCAGTCCATTGGAAATATTTATCATTTCCAAACATCATAAATTCTCAGTTGTCCCTTCAGCTTCAAATACCTGCCTTCTGCCACTTCCACACCTAAATTAATTTTCAATTACTTTCCGGTTTAAATGTTACTATCTCCTCCATGTATGTTTCCCCATCCATCCATCCATCCATCCACCCATCCACCCACCCCGGCACGCACGCATCCATATGTATTCATTAACCCTTCTACTCATCTACTGCTACCAAGTGTTGGCTATGTTGTAGGCACAATGCCAGACTCTGGTAGCGCAACTAGGAAGAAGAGAAATGTGGTTTCATACATTTTACACAGGAAAGAAGAGCTTTCATGCTGGTGGGTGATGGGTTATTTTGGGGGAGAAGATGTGTTTTGTTTGACCCATATTTACATTTTTCTCCTGTCTGTTTTTTTTGAATTAGCTAGTAACTTTAAAAATTATGGTTAGAAAAATCCAGTCAGACCAGTTGGACTTGTATCTGTCTTAAATAAGCTGCCAGTTCCCATACGGAGCCTGTGCTTATTGAGCTCTTGGTGACATTTCAATTTATGACACTTGGATTAAAAGGAGGCAGGAATTTAAATGAATAATTATAAGTAATATGTAATTGGTGTGATAAAAATGTGATAAAAATTGCACCAGAATTAATAATTCCTTTACTCTTGTTTCAGTAGATTGACCTCTTTTGGCATTTGGAACTACAAAATTTTAACATAGAAGGCTGGGCATGGTGGCACATGTCTGTGATCCCAGCTCTCTCGAGGCTGAGGCAGGAGGATTGCTGCAAGTTTGAGGCCAGCCTGGGCTATATAATGAGTTCAAGGCCAGCGTGAACCACATGACAAGACCGTGTCTCAAAAAACCAACCGACTAACCAACCAGCAAACACAACACAACACAACACAACAAAACAAAACAACATAACATAAAATACATAACTTGGAAAATGTATAAAACTGGGAATTTGTCCTATTTTAATGGCTGTATAGAACAGAACCATTAAACATGTCTTTGCTCAGAAGATTTATATTCCATTACTCTTACGTTACTTTGCTAAATAGGACCTAATCAAATAGAGATTATGAAACATCAAATAATAACAGATTTCAAAAGAGATACTAATGCATTAGCAAAATACTATAGGTTTTTTTCTTCCAGGCCATTCATAAGGCAAAAATAGATTGATAAAATCTACCTCAAAGGCATAATCTGTTGTTTTCCCAGAAGGTGAAAGTCCAGGAGCTGGAAATGCAGAAATTAGCATCAGAGTAGGCCTTAGAAACAAAGCACCAATATTATTCTTTCAATAGTAAAACCTAGCCGTGAACATAAGTTTGTTTACCTAAAAATATCTTTCATGTATACTTGTATGACATGAGTACTTGTATGACATGTGAAAGGTCCTGGGTTCTATCTCCTGGATAGTCAAAAAAATTTTTTTTGAAAATATAATGTTAAAAAAATCCTCTAGAGTTTAGAGTTGAATTATTGTTCAGGCACAACTAATAGCAAATTCTTTAGAGTCCTGCTTATACTTTTTAATAGCACCTGTGTAATTTGTTTGAATTAAGGTCTTTTTCCCACAGAGGTGACTAATCACAGTAAGAGCTTTACATCTCATAAGGTTATACGTATGAAGAAAATCCTGCCTCTACTTTGATGATGGTAATTAGTGACTTAGGAGGCTTGTCCTGAGGGAGGAGCCACTCTTTGGGCAGGAAAAGGCCTGGGATGGTATTGTTCCTGCTCTACTCGTCCCCAGGCTTGTCTGTGGGCTTCTGCTTAGCATCCTGCATGGTCAGCCCCCTCTGCCTTTCCTTTCCATGTTTATATTTGACCTTTCCTTCCACCAGGCAAAATCAGTTTTTGTGTCAGTAATTCACGTGACACTCTGAGGACGTACTCAAGCTACAACGAGCTTCCTGCTGTTTTGTGGACAACGGTGTCTGGTAAGAATTAAAACAGTAGTGAGAACTGAACTCTTTTGTCATTATTTTTAATTATCGAGACATAAAATGTTATTTTGAAAATGGAAACAAACAAGTGCTTCTTTCTGGGCACAGTGAACAAATTTTTCCACCTAGGAACTACCTTATTCTTTAGCCTTTTGCTTCTAGCGGTGTCTTAGAAGCTTCCAAAGACTTCATCCTGATTAGTTCTGTTTGATAAACGAAGGCATTCCTAAAATCCTGTCAGTGCAAATATTCTATCTAAAACAGAACAGCTGATAAACAGCGTTAAATATATACCTGAGCCAAACTCATAATCAGCACTCACCTTGGATAGCTGGAGCTATATACAACCAATCACAGTGAAAAGGTAACTACTTCCATCAGCTTTCACATGCCCTCATTTTCTTGCTTTACACTTTGCCCATACACATTATAAACGTCAGTTGTAGAAACCAGAATCGTGGCTACTGTAAAAACACAAAACGCGTTACCTTGGGAGTAAGTGTGAGAATGAGTCGGGCACTGGCATCTAGGGAAAAGAAAAAAGTGAAGTGAAAATGGAAACTAAAAAATGATAAGCCTGAAAGTGATTCACATTGCAGTCCAGTGTCAAGGAGACTATCAAGCTAGAAGTTATATTGGCAGACAGTTTACAGTCAAAAATCCTCACAAAACACGATGGAGAAGAGTCCATCCTACCCTGTGCAGGCTTTCCCGCGCTGTAGGATCTTTGATGGATTCGTTTATTCTAGCAGCACCTTAAAAGCCTGTGGGCAGCTGAGATAAGCACTCTGTGGGTACACGGAGGTTTAAGACGGGGTCCTCGGTTTCCACAGGGACCTAGCTCTTACAAGTTTAGGGGCTCTGACCAAATTGGCCTAGGTTAACTGTGTCCTGGGGCCTCTTCTCGCTCACCCCTCCAGGCTGGGGACTTTCCTTTTATTTTCCCTGCGTCTTCAAGGTGAGCATTTTTCTTCAGACAGGCCCTGGATCCTTTGGGGAAGCCTTCTCCGGACCCAGAGGCCCACCCTCTCTGCCCACTTCTCAGTCGGCTTCCCCCCAGGTTTTCCGCGCCCTCATTTGGGACACTTTCCCACCCTTCCCTGTCCTGGTCGTCTCCTATTTTGGGGGCAGTCTCTCCTCTGGTTTCTCTTTCTTCCTGCTCAGTTTTATGTTTTTTTATTTTTGTTTTTGTTTTATTTTATGGCGGTAGCACCTCGTCATACTAAGGCCTCAGTAGATACTTGAGTGCATGACCTCTTTTTCCCATCCTGCCAAAATTCAAATTTGGAATTAAAACATCCGAGGCGGGAGGCCGCCCAGTGTTGGGGACACTAGCTTGTTCACATTTTAGACGCCCTCCAGATCTCAAAACTTCCTGAGAATTGGGAAAGCAAAACACGCTTGGAAGCGAGGGGTGAGAGCCACGAGTCAAGGCTGCCACCTAGCGGCCCCAGCGACTGGGGGCGCTCGCAGCGGACAGGAAAGCAGGCCCAGGCTGATAGTTCGTTTGGTCCCTCTCTCAGGGGTGGGCTTTACCTTCCACGACTTGTGAGTGAAGCCCTCCAAGAACAAGAAAAGCAAAGCAAAGATTAGAAAACTATCCAGGCACAGAGCTTTCCAACGCGAAGCTCCGAGGCGTGCATGCTTCTTTCCACCCCTTCTCTTTGTATTTCAAGCTCTGAGGCTACCTCAGTTCACATTTTAAAAAACTTCTGAGTTTTTGTGAGTACATGTTTGCAGCACATAATGACTACTTTCATCGTGGGGAGCTGGCACAGGTACATAACACATCTTAATTCTTTCTCCCCCTCCCTCCCCTCTGCCTCAACTGCCATTTTCCTCACCTGAAGTTCCCGTCTTACCCTCTTGCCTTCTCAGGACTCCATCCGTATTGCATTTCCTCACGCCCTCCTTGATCCTTCTCATCACCCTTAAGAATTTCCAAAGCTGAAGTTCTCAGGATCGCTCACCTCCTGGTTCTCCCCCATTGGCCCCCATGTGCTGACTGGCCTCCAGGACATTCCCGGGCATGAAAGCAGGCTGCTGCCTAAAGTCTCAGCATTCGTGCTGGCCCCTCACTCCCCAGGCCTCTTCGCTCCGCCCTGGCAGCACTGATCAGCAGGAGCTACCCCTTGCTTGTGTGCGGGAACTCTCTTCCTTGGCTTCCAGGTCTCCCTGTTTGGGTTTCCTCTCACCATTTTTTCTCTAACTCCTTCCCCCTCTACCAATTCCCTAAACGTCAGGTTCTGTCCTGCGCTGCCTTCAGCTGCTCTGCTCCTCCCTTCTCCCTTGCCCTTGACCATGCATCAAAGCCCAAGTATTTCTCCACCTGAATCCACCCACTTCTCTCTGGGTCCTTGCCATTCTGATTCCGGTCATCTCTCGACCAGGTTTATACTAACTTCAAAACTAGCTTCTGGTGACACCTCTATTCCTCATAGTATGGTCAGGGGCCGCCCAGTGTTGAGGACACTAGCTTGCTTCAAGTTGCTTCTGTGGCAGATCAAGTTCAGGGCAGGCCTGGCTGCTCGCCCCAGCTAGCGCCTCATCTTACTCTTGCAGTCTTTCCTGAGGCCCAAGGCCTACCCCTGTGATCTGCGCTGCTGTTAAAGCCTCCGCTGCTCCTCACCCCACACCTGTAGCCCTTCCTCTCTGCTCCAGTCACCAGCACGTGCTGACGTCATTCTCATGCCACACTCCCTTCCCATGCGGCTGTCCCCAAAACACTGTCCACACTGGCTCCAAAGGAGATGAGGTGCCTGATAAAGAGTTGTATGAAGTCACAGGTTAAGAACAAAGAATTTAAACGCAGCTAAACAATTTCCCCCCTTCCTCAGGCCTTCTCAGAGCCCCTTTATGTGTTAATGTATATCCTGATTCTCTAAGAGGGCAGTTCGCGTAAGTAGTTTCCCAAATTAACTTGGCCATGGAATTCTTTTAGTGTGGAGTATTAACGTTTCAGTGTGAGGAGTACTGCTTTAGTATCGAATACAATTTAAATTCCTTAGGCCTGAGACTCTGGACTGTGAAAGCAACACATGTGGGTTCAAATTCTGGCTGTGTCATTTGCTTAGCTATGTGACTGACACGAGATAAATTACTGTTCCCCACCCTTTTATCTATAACAGAGATAATAATACAGTTCGTCCTAGGCTTATTGTAGGAGTAGAGTTAGTGTTTTTCTTGTTGAATTAGTGCTCTTCACAGGACATACAAAGTGTGTGGACAGTACCTGGCTCATGGTAATTGTCCAGTAAGGGTCAGATATTTTCATAGTCACAGTCTCTCACCACTGTCTTCCCTAGTCTCACCTCCCACTAGGAGTGGGCCCAGGCTTTCCTTTTGGATCCTGGAACTGTGTCTCCCTTTCTGCAGTTTTTTTCCCTCTGCCTGAAATTCCTCTCTAGTCCCTCTCTCTTCCCTGCCTCTACCTCCACGATTAACCTCACACTTCCCATCCTTTTCTAGGCCAATTTACGCCCTTGAATTGAACAAGTACGTATTTGTCAGACAGCTACTCCCTCTTTAGGTACCTGGCATTTCTGGAGGTGGTCAGACATGTCCTAACATTTAGTACACACACTCCCCGTACATGCCAGGGAGCATAACTCCTTGAGATTTTTCCCCCTTTTTACCTCTGCGGTGATCTGCAACAGGTCAGGTTTTACGTTTGCCCCCTACTCAGATGCCCCGCTGTACTTTTAACCGCGCCACAGTCTTTCATAATGCACACCCAGAGCTCACGCGGAATAGTTTTTGGCACATAGCAACCAGCAAATATGTGTTGATTGGATACATCAATTTGCCTTGGCCGCTGCACCGAGCTCTGCACTGCCGGCCAGCGTGGACCAGGGCGCGTTGGCTGAGCCTGTTTCCTGAGCGGTAGCTAAACACAGCAAAACCTGTCATAACCGCGCCGCTCAGGACTGCGCTGCGCATTCTGTGACAGCCCTGCCGCACGCGAGCGCATGGTCCGGCACATACTGGACCTTCAATTCTTGGAAGCAACCGGAGTACGGGCTGCGGCCCGGGCCCTCGGACCCCTTCCCCGCCGGCCTGCACTCACGCTGCGCGCTGCAGTTGCCTCAGCAAGTGCGCGACCCGGGCCCGGGCTGCGGCGGCCATGGCTGGCAAGGTCCTTCGGCCACCTGGCCCGCACCGCCCCGCTCCGCCCCGGCTGCCAGCCAATCCCGGACGCTGCGCTCCGCCCGCCCCCTTGGCTGTCCCGGCCACCTGCTCTGCAGAGGCAGGGTCCCCACGGCCAGCTTTAGGAAGCAGGGGTTCAGGACCCTAAGACGATTTTCCCAAGAGGAGTCAGAACCAGGGCCACCACTGCCCAGCTGCCAGGTCCCACCATCCAGCTCTGAAAGTGCCACAGAAGGCAGCGGTACGCTAGGGCCTGGGACGACGCTTCACAAGTCTCTACCTGAAAGCTGCTGTTCTCTACAGGATGGGGACTTGGGAAAGGGGAGAGGAACGAGGCACTCTATCTCCGAATTCATTGCAATGGTACCTTGCCTTGTTAAAGTATTCTTAGAGTAAATTATCAAGGCCCTGTGTTTAAATTTTCAACGGTAATCCAGAATCTTAAAAAATAAAAAAAGTCCTAGAGTCCTTGTGTGTTTCTGTAACAGGGCCAGTACTGTATCCCACTGCTGAATCAAGCCTAACAACCAACAACCCCAAAACGCCAGCATTTGAAAGCTGTGTTCTGTGAACAGCTTTGCTTTTCATGAAGTTGTTCCAGGCAGGAAACAGCTTTGTGGATAGTTAGAATGTGCTATGATTGCACTACTGTACTGGGGATGGCTTACCAGCGCTAAACATCCACATTATTAATAATGTTATTATGACATATCGTCTGTCCTTTCACAGCAGTCCTGAGACCGTACACTGGAAAAATGGGACAGCACTTAAAAAAAGGGGACGACAAAACTACTCCCCAATTTTAATTTCCTATCAACTGGCAGAGCAGAAAGAGCAGGTGGCCTTACTCTACTGCAGTGAAAAAGCCCCCCAGATTCTGGATCTACTATGAATCACTTTCAGGAGATACTTACTGTACAAAGATGAGTTTACCAAAATCAAAATAAGAGATATACAGAAGACAACCCAGGGCAGCTATAAACACTTGGCCTCCTAATCAAACCAAAGTGGGTCAATTTAACAAATTAATCAAAAGATAGCGATATTCCAATTAAGAATTTTCTGGGTCTCTTTCTCTTCCCAAAACAAATGGGTTATAAATACTGAGAAATATTTAAGCACTGTCTGGAAAAATAAATGTTACCATTATTTTTAGTATAGCCCCAATTCAGCACTTACATCAGCATGAAGTGTTAGTTGTTTTTTACATACCTCAGTTGTAATAGGCTTTTAATTTTATATTTAACATCAGGAGAAGTTTAAGTTTTTCTAATAAAAGTGATCTCACTGAAAGCATTAGAATTTAACTACTTTCTGTCTTTAAGAAACAAAAATAATTCGTGCTGGATACCCAGGTCTCTGGCTTCATGTTCATTCTCCCAAAAGTGAAAAACATTAAATGAACACCTTTATTAAATAATCTTTACAAAAGTTACTTGTAAATACCATTAGAAAATAACTTTTCCTCTCTTTGCTTTGATTATCATACAAGTTTGTTATAAAAATAATGCAGGAATGTGTAAATCCCCTATTAACTTCCTGAAATAGGACCAACTCTTAACTCCATATCCAAAATTAAAACGAAAGATTACTCTTAAAGAACAGAATTCATTCCTGGCTTCAAACGAATTATTTCCCCACTTCTTACGCCCTTATCTCCTGTTCTCGATTAATTTGTGTAACAGGGGGAAACACAATTTGTACAGTCCGTTTGTGGGGAGAGCAACGGTGTCCCTTCAACTGCCAAGTTCAGTGAAGGCAGCAGTCACCTCCTTCTGCACCCTCCACAGCTGAACGTTTTGTACCTAAGTACAGGTCTTCCGGAGCACGTCCGAGGATGCACGCCATCACTTCCTCCTCCCTCCCGCCCGGTGCTGCCCTCCTTTCCTCCTGCTGCCCGCACCGGGCGGCCTGGACTGCGTCTGGCCTCCCAGACGACCTTTTCTCTTGCCCCCCTGGCTGGGCGGGCCGCCCTTCCTCTTGCCCCCGGGACCCTGCCGGCCGCCCTTCCTCGTGCCCTTCTGGCCCATCCTCCTCCTCCTGGCGGCCTCCTCCTGGTCCTCCTCTCTCATCTGCTTATTGGTGGCCCTCGTCACGTCCAGCTTAGGCTTCTTGCTGTTCAGGACGCGAAGTAGCTCCAACTGGCTCTTTCTCTCGGCGGCGAAGTCCCCGAAAAGCGGCTGGAACTTCCTCTTCCGGCCCGAGCCCCGGGGCGCCCTCTCCTTGGGGAGGCGCTCCTGGAAGCGGCCCGCGGAGGCGGTGGAGAGCTTCGCCACCTGCACGGCGCGGCGCAGCTCCTCCTTAGTCTGGTGGCCGGCGGGGCGCATGCCGGCTGCGCTGGGCAGCTGCGTCCTGTGCGCGCGGGCCAGGTTGCGCAGCCGGTTCAGCTCGTTCTTGGCCACGCGTTCCTTCTTGGCCTGGACCCGCTTGGCAAACTGGTCTTGCAGCGGGTCGGCGCCGTCGGGCACTTCGATCAGCCACTCCTTCGTGTCGTCCCGCGCGCGCTTGTAGCCCCAGCGGCGCCGCCACTGGCCGCTCACCTCGTCCCACACCAGGCTGGTCTTCTTCTTGGGGCGGATGCCCTTGAGGCGCGCGAACTGCTGCCAGCGCGTCAGCGGCCGCGGCTTGGGCAGCGGCTTCTCCCGCGGCAGGCGCGTGGTGGGCTCCGGCAGCCGCGCCACCACCGCCTCTTCCACGCGCTCCGTGGGCAGCTGCCACAGCTGGTTGACGAGCAGCTGCGTGTTGTCGCGCGCCAGGGCTCGCAGCTCGGCCTCGGGCGCCGGCCCCGCCTGCCGCAGCGCGGTCGGGGCGTTGCGGTCTGAAGCCAGCAGGTTGCCCAGATCGAACTCCAGCTCCAACTCCTTGTGCACCGTGATGCGCTGCAGCTTCTCCACCTCGTCCTGCTCCGCTTTGGCCAGCAGCTCTTCCACGCTGGGCCCCTCCATGGCTCCAGCTCAGCTCGCTCGCTTTAGCGCAGCTGCTGAAGTTACTTCTCCAAGAGCCGTGGACCCGGTACCGGCAAAGGCAACAACCACGTGCGGACGCCGACACTCAATCCGGAAGAGAAGGGTTAACTTCCGGGGCAACCGGAAGTAGTTCAGGATTCGGACGGCAAAAGAAAGGCCGGCAGAGGGCGGTATTGGAGAGCCGGTGGCGTTAGGGGTGGGCCCGTCAGGCTCGAGCCCGGATGTGGGAGGTACTGCAAGTTCAGGATCTGTTTGGGACTTCGTTTCCCAGGATGCACCGGGCTGGAGGCGGTCGGACGGGGGCGGGCGCGGGCAGTTCGAGTCCCGGGCTGCGTTTGGCGTGCGGTCCAGGTCGGGTGGGTGTGCGCGCCGAGTGTAAACCTGTGTCAGTAGCCAGCCCTTCTCGGGGGCGGGGGAGGCAAGTTATTTTAGGAGAGTCGTAGCCCGCCTTCGGCGTCCCGCGTGTGAGCGGAGAGACTAGAACTCCGCGAAGGAGCGTGCACCCGGGGCTGCAGCACCCCCGCGGGCCGAACGCCCCTGCGTCGCGTCCTCTCGGGACCCCGCCGGCTCTTCGCCTTCCCGCCCGTTGCAGTCCCGGCAGTGCCAGTGTTTGACGTCGGTCACTCGCTTCGGGCTTACTACTATTTCTGTATTGGGGATTGAACCCGAGGCCCTCACACTGAGCACACTCTCATCCCTTTTACAGTCATTGCTACTTTGAGACAAGGTTTCACTAAATTGCCCAAGCTGAGCTTGACCTTGCCGCAGTCCTGCACATTCTCTCGGCGCTGGACAGACAAGCCACCACACCCGGCTTGTTTAGACCTTTAAAAAAACCTGCTTGGTGGGGATACATCCAGTACTTTGTAGGGCGGTTATAAATCGGTTAGTATGTCCCAAGGAAGCTCAGACCAGGGCCTGTAACGAGGGTACTTGGTAAAGTTAGCTAAATGCCAGATTATTACTTAACGTTCATTACGGCTCAAGGAGCTAAGGCGGTGTTACATGGTGGCTTAAAAAAGGCGAGTGAGTTTGCCTCAGTTTATCATTTACTGTGTCTTGGACAGGTTGGACCTAAGCCTGTTCATTAGTTGATAAATATGAAACATTAATTCCAGGTACACAGGAAAAACTCGCGTGTTACCTGCTCTTGTTGCTATGTTACTTACCCTGATGAGAAAGGAAGGCTTAGGAGGTAAATTGATTTATGTAAGGTTATACAACCAGAAAACGCAGGAACAGGAGATCTCGTAACTATGTCTTTAACACTACATGTTCTCTGCAATGTCATAGATCTTCATATTCACAAAGTATAGTCTGCTAAGCAACAACATATCTTCACCCCGGAGCTTGTTAGAAGGGCAGACTTTGAAGTCTCACTCCAGATGTAATTTTATCAGAACCTTCATTTTAATAACGTTCATAGGTGTTTGTGTACATCAAAGATAGAAAGAGGTCATGCTGGACAAGTAATAGAAATGAACGTAGTAGCAGTTAGGAGATAAACTTAATTGACTTTCAGCATTCAAGTAGATTCTAGTTTCTTCCTGTTAGCAAAAAGCATTTTAGGATTTTTTTTTCTCTCTGAGTCTTTGCCTTAACGCCCAATATCAAGTCTTTAAAGTCAACCATCCTAGGGACCAAGGCAAAGAAACAAAGAAAGAAAATTTTATAACATAATAATAAGAGAATAACAATAATATACTGTGTATCATTTTCAAAGTAGTTACTCATAGTAGAAGACTTCAACAGGAAAGATTCTCTATAATATAATACAGTTAAACTTTTAATAGGAAGAGTAAGTGGGATTTAGCACCTGTCAGTCCTCTGTATTAGGAAAAAAGAGCAGGGATTGATTCTTTTTCACTGAATGAAATACTATTTGGTCTGAATCATACAGGCCATCTCTTAATTGAACTATAATTGTTTTATATTTTATGGTTTTTAATACTCCAAATGGATTTTAATTTTGTTTAAAACGGGAGACTGAATTTTGCTTCCAATAAGTACTGTACGCAATAGTATTTAACTCATGACCTATTGAAAGAATAAACAACAAGTTTTTCTAAACTGAAAGGGCATTAATGTTGGCTGTGCTGATTCAAGGTGAACAAAAATAGTAAGATTGAGATTTGGGACTTTAAAAAATTCTTACTGATCCAGTAGTATAAAAACAAAACAAACAACCCAGCAACAACAAAACACATCTTATGGAGGCAAGTGGGCAAGTGGTACTTGCAGGCATTCTTATTTAGGCAATTCCGCAATGTCAAGAAAAAAACCTACCAAAGATGTGAATATTGTTTATCTTTATTAAGTTACCCAGCTTAGCTGCTACCTGTTTGCCGCCAGGTGCTTTTGGAAGTATCCTAGGAGCATCTTTAATAGTGTCTTGCCTCCATACTCTTTTCAGAATATTCCTGCTGATTTCCCTTCCATGGATGTGATCAAATCAAACTCTCCCCTCTACCTAATAGAAGAATGATTATTCTTGGGTGTCCCTGAGCTGGTCCTGGCAACCTTTTAAAATTCATGTCATTACTGTCCTCTTTATGAAGTAGACCAGGCTCTCATGGGAATAAGAGACTAAGGGGTTCTCATTAATCCATGGTGTGTTTTCCACTAAAAGTGAAGTTTTCTTTTTTTCCCTATCCTCTCTTACCAAAGATGTATGGAATGCACCCTTATCTTATCTCCCTACTCTTGCAAGAGTTGATGTGCTATAGTAGCCTGGGGGTGCCTGTCTCTAAGGACAGGAATGGCCACTTATCCATTCTTGCACAAGAAAGAAACTCCTTAAAACAGGAAGAGATTTCCAAAAGCCAGACTCAAGATCCAGTTGTTGGGGACTACAGATTGTAAAATGGGACTAGCTTCTATTTGAGGCTGGTCTTGCCTTGCGGGCTCCTTGGTCTGCAGAAACTCGGGTTTTGTTTTCTCTCAGCTGAAGCTCAGGCTCAGGCTCAGTGGTTCTTGGCAGTGGCTGGCAGCCACAGGACAAGATAAGATCTGCTGAGGACACCAGGGAGGAAGCAGGTACCCAGGTGTGAGGAAGGACCTTAACTTTTGTTTCTTTGTGATGCTAAACTTGTTCCTCATACTACTACAGTGAAAAGTACACTACCTCTCCCCCCTGCACTTCTGACTGACTAATAAAAAAGTGGGCCTTTGGAAGAGGTCTTCGTCTTTGCCCACCCTGAGGCACTGACCTCCCAGCTCCCTGTTATGTATTCCTAATACTGTCTCTGTGTTTTATTGCATCCTCTGTGGTACTCCTCATACAGGGAGGTAGGGGTCTTGGCCAGGTCCAGCATCCAGTGAAAAATTACCAGACTCCAGCAACTTTATAAATGCTTCTCTGTTTTGTTAATGGGCCTGTCTGATCTCCATCAAGGCTTTGCCCACTGTGGCTTTTCTTCTTCTCAAGCTGAAGTCTGCCTAATTTCAGTTCCTTCATAAATAAGCTTTTGCCTTTAAAATCATGCTGCTGGCTCAATTTTAATTTCCGCTGTCACTGAAGCAAGTTCCCATGCGTGACTTTGCAATCTTTTATGCTTGGTTTCCAAATATTTCTAACCCTACTCTTTTCATCTTAGCTGTCTCTCCAGAGTTTTAAAAACATTCCTCATCAAGGCAAAAAAAAAAAAAAAAAAAAGATGCAGGCAGAAAAAGCAGCAACTATGTTTTCGAAGCAATTGTTGTGAAATTTCTAATTGACAAAAGTGAACTTACAGGGAGAGGTTTTCTTTCCCCCAAGTAATGATATGAAGGTAAAAGACATGAGAGGAATGTTTTTCATCTTTCCTCAATACATAGCTAGTTTGGTCAATAAAACTTTTAAAAAATCAAGTTCTTAATCTTTTGGGTATTACATTGAAGGGCAATATGGGCCCCTAGATAGGGACATAGACCTTTTAAAAAGTAGAAGGAAAATAATCTCTGTACTGAGACTGAGCAGCAGACAATTTGTGATCTTACCCCTAAAGCAGGCAGTCTGTGGTTTTGCTTTTGTCTTTGTGCGGTCAGTACTCTACACTGGTTCCTCTTTGTGCAAGTTGCTATGCCTACCATGTTTTCCTGTTACCCCACAAAAGCCAAACCCCTAGCAACAAGCCAACCACCTAGTCAAGTTCAGTGTCCCTTAGGGGGAAGGGGTTCCTGGGCCGCTACCCCATAAAACAGGACTGCTGCCCCATACTCAGTGGTTACCCAGCTCTGAGGCCCCCACTCCTCAGTAGTGCTTCCTTTTGCAAATAAACTTTACTTTCTCTTTACACTGTCTTCTGACTCTTCTTCATCTTTCTACAATGGAGAATGAGATAAGCCCAGGAAAGTTCAAGGCTAGGGTGGCAACCCCAGGCCCACAGGACATGGCATATTTTGGGGATTTATCTGGATTACAAAAAACCCACGAAGACCACCAGATATGGTCAGTACAAGTCATCCTAAACAGAGGAGTGAAGGTGGGAGGACACTCCATCCTCTTCTTATCTCACTTTCTGGAGAGTCCCCTGACCATGATCTAGCACCATTAGAATCTCTCGGCTGGGACCCCTGTGGTGGTAGGAGACCCTGTTCTGGGCAGAGTCCTTCCTCATCGGCTGGCTAAACATCAGTGTGCAGGGACTTGGCACCATATATGGCTTTCTGGTGGTCTGCAAGGAACAAACAGGAGTCAATAACTCATATGGCCAAGTGGTGATTTGTCTGAGGGATCTCATCAGATGAAAGTCCAGCTTGCTACTCCTCAGACAACCAGGGTGGGGGATTACTGTATACTGGTGTGTCACCCTGCTTTGCAATCTCGTCTGCAGCTGGTCTGGGGTTTATCCAGACCTGGCTATTGCTAAGAGACTGAGTCCCTGCTCTGGATCCCATTAAGGACTTGACTTGCCTGTTGCCAAGAAGGGACTCCCCTTGGTTTGGTTAGTGGCAGGAACCTGCTGGGGTAGAGGTGGGGGGAAGATCTGTCTGCCAAAATGATGCCCTGATCCAGTCATCTTCCCCTGGGTTTGACCCAGGTGAGACTTGTGGTTGTTGCTAATATTCCCAGGAAGATGCTAAATTCTTCATTCAAAAAAATTAAGCATTTTGTACCATCTGGTACAGAATTAACCCTTTTGTACCAGGAGGTCTTATAGAGGCTGACATCCTGGTCAGAGCAATATCTTTTCTGTTTTTTCTTCTGGAATTGGGTAGAACAGGTCCATCACATTGAGTGGATAAATATTACCATTTCATGTGCCACTTTGCACTTTACTACACCCCATTAAAAAACATTTCTGGGGGAGGAACAAGCTTTTATGGAGTAATGGTGTCCATTGCCTGCCATCTGGTGTGGAAAGGGATATATGGGAGACTGCCACTGAGCTCCAGGTCCCACCTACCTGGGTATTTTCTGTTCAAAGGTAGTGTAGGAGAGGTTGGAAAATGGATGATGCTACAAGTTCTCCAGGAGCTGAGGTCCCCATACTACAAGCTGAGGCATTCTGGGTAATTTAAAAACCCTGTTTGGAGGAGGTCAGATGCACCATCCTGGCCTGCCATAATTGGCAAGTTCAAAAGTACAAATCCCTATTGCCATTACTCCTACTTGGCCCTAGACCCTGTCCTCTGGACCGATACCCCAGTCCCTGCAAAAAGAGAGAGTCCTTGTAGCCCAAGTCTGTGCACAAGTATAGTATAGACAAACTCCTGACAGTGGTGGGATGGCCCAACTGCTAGGGTCTCTAGGCTGTAATGGAATCCCTTTAACGTTGCTTTTGAGAGGCCCTCCCCCCATATCGGGAGACTTTTACCAGATTTCCCTCTCCCCAGATGGGAGCCTGATTTTAAGCCGTTGTGTTTCATTTATCCTTGGAATGCCTCCCAGATGCTAAAGAGAAAGGCTTTAATTTTTTATTGTACCAACTTTTGGATTAGATATCGGCTGGGGGACAAGGAGATATGGCCAGGGTGGGGTACCCCAAGCTACAATACTGTTTGTCAGTTGGACTTCTTCTGCAAGACGGAAACGGACTTCTTCTGCAAGATGGAAACGGAATGAGGTGCCCAATGTGCAGCTATTTTTTGTCATCAGGAATCATCTTGAGTGGGCATCTCAATGTTCCAGATACACAGGTGCACACACACACACACACACACACACGCACGCACGCACATACCCTACCTACTGCTATGTGACCATGATTCATACAAGGCCAGGAGCCAAAAGGGGAAGAGTGGCACCCTGGAGGAGGGGCAGGGCCTGGCTCCTCCTTACTCTGAGACAAGCCCCACAGCCCCACAGCTCCTCCTGCTGGATTATTGCCCCTTAGAAACAATTTGAGAGGGGAACTAGACCAGGTCTTCTTCACCAGAGGCAAGTAAGGTCCTTATCCCACTTCCAGCAAATCTTGTCAGCCTTGCAAAGAAACCCACTCCACCTAATAAGCTTCTCTTTTGCCCAGGAACTCTGGTACTATAATCAAGGCTCTAGACACACAGGACATAAACAAACCCCTACGAGAGGGTCCCTACATGGTGATTCTTTCCACTCCTACTTCAGATGGGATGTAGCTCCTGGATTTACTATTTCCAGATCAAACTGTGGACTGCTTCTGGAGACTTGGAGAGTGACCTCTCTGCTACAGTTGAGGCAATACCTGAATCCACTTACACCTGTGAGCTCATGGACGATCTCAAAGTTCTCTCCAGAGGACGATAAGATATATTACATCAAAACTATAAAAATGCAAATGGGCCTCCAGATGGAGCCAACCATGGAGGTTCCTTCATCCTTCTACTATGGCCTGCTACCTAGATTGACCTCCTGATGGACCTCATCCATTGCCCCAGGGAATACCCTCTTTCAGCCAGAAGTAACCAGAGCAGTTATTGCCCTTAATCCTGGGGGTGAGGGGGAATGTAGGGAAAGATGGGACACCTGGATAAGGTTAGAATAAGGACATGGGCCCTTTAAAAATTAAGAGAAAAGTACCCTTTATACTGAGACTGAGCAGCAGACACTTTTGTGGTTTTAGTCCTGAAGCAGGCAGTCCGTGGTTTTGCTTTTGCCTTTGTGCAGGCAGTACTACACACTGGTTCCTCTTTGTGCAAGTTGCTATGCCTACCATGTTTTCCTGTTACCCTACAAAAGCCAAACTCCTAGCAACAAGCTGACCACCCAATAGAGTACAGCTACCTTTGGGGGGAAGGTGTCCCTGGGCTCCTACCCCATAAAACAAGACCGCTGCCCCATATTCAGTGGTTAACCAGCTCCCTAGAGTGGCTTTGTACTGATTTCTTCTCAAAATAAACTGCACTTGCAATTTCCACCAACTTCTGACTCCTCTTCGTCTTTCTACATTGAACAGAGAGATATGCCCAGGAAAGTCTGAGGGTAAGCTGGTGACCCCAGACCCACAGGATAGGACAACATTAACTTAGATTTACTTTTCTAAATATTTCTCAGTTGCCTCTTTTTGACAGGAAATGGTTAAGGATGATTTATTCATTCATTCATTCTTTAATCATAGAGTGAATGTAGATTTCTTTGGAGTGTTTTTGTCTGAAGAATTCAGTATGATCCTAATTTGATAAAATAGCAGAAAAGTGTTCTTAAAACACATTATTTCCACGTGGATCATCTTAACTGATTTATAATTTTATTTTGGAAGTGCTTCAGTGAAAAATTGTAATTTTGAAGTTTTTTTAATCATAAGCAATCTTTTGCAACTGCTTCATTTTAGTCAGAAATCTATACTAAACATCCATTATTTTATTTTTAAAATTAAGAAGATATAACATTAAAATTTTGTGTAGTGAAGGAACAGAATAACTATCAAACATTGTACATTTGCCAATGAGGAACTTTAGAATTTAGCATAGTAAAAATTATGTTAGTCTTTTAGAACTGATACAAGTTGTATTGCTCTCTGTAAACTGTGTTGCTGTCTGTATATCTTCTACAGAAGGCAATACCTAACACCTACAATAGCACCTTGTTTTTTAAAAAAATGATAAATGAGGTGCCTGCATTTGCATAATCTTACACCTGCAAGATAGATAAGTACCACTGCCTGATGGCTTTTATTAATCATTACCATGTCCCAAGAGAATAAAATTGGTCAATACATGGGTTTATGAATGAAGGGTGTATGTAAAAAGGCAAGCTGAAGTTTGAGAATTTTAGGGGTATGCACATTCAAATTATTTAATTCAGTCAATCATTATTTCTTATTACATTTTAATTTATGGAAGTAAAATTACAATGAGTAAGAAGTACTTTTATGTTTTTCTTAATAAAGTACAAGCAATTTTTGTAAATAATTTTAGAGAAGATTTATCTAATAAGCAATTAAATCCTGAATAACTTTCCCTTAAGAAAACCAGACTCATTGCTACAGATTTCAATTTGTCTTTGCAGTCATAGACCATGTATGAACATATTAATCTTTTCCATATGAAGTACCTTCCCAATTTTTCTTCTAAATTTCCCACATAAGCAATATTAAGAATATATAGGGGAGTTATGGCTATCTGTAATAAACATTAATTCTTGCCCTTCAACTACAGATTGTTTCTAAAGATTACCCATTTTATTTTTATGAAAACAATGGATAGAAAAACTAAAACTATGACTATATATAT